TGGTCTTCCTTCAATAGGAGGGAGCAAGATAGGAGGTTCAAGCAGATACTATTTAATACTTTCAAATTCCTTCTGGAAATCATCTGTCCACACACAACCTTGATCTTTCTTTAACAACTTAAAGATCAGTTCACACGTTGCAGTCACACGGGAGATAAATTTAGAAATGTAATTCAACCACCCAAGGAAGCCTCTAACTTGATTTTTAGTTCTTGGCGCTGGAATTTATTGAATTTCTTTGACTTTATCAGGGTCAACTTCAATTCCTTTTTGGCTTACAATGAAACCTAACAATTATCCTGATCGAACACCGAAGGTGCATTTATTTGGATTCAAGCGGAGATAATACTTCCTCAAATGTTGAAACAATTTCAACAAATCTTCGATATGCCCTTCTTCAGTCTGGGATTTAGCAATCATATCATTAACATATACTTAAATTTCCTTGTGCATCAGATTATGGAATAGGGTTGTCATAGCCCTCTGGTACGTTGCACCAGCGTTCTTCAACCCGGAGGGCATCACTCTGTAACAGAATGTTCCCTAGGGTGTGATAAACGTTGTTTTTTCCATGTCCTCAGGAGCCATTCTAATTTTATTATATCCGTAAAATCCATCCATTAATGACAATACTTTGAATTTTGTTGTACTATTAACCAGCATATCAATATGTGGCAATGGAAAATCATCTTTTGGACTTGCTTTGTTTAAATCTCTATAATCAACGCACATGCGAACTTTTCTGTCTTTCTTTTGGTACTGGGACAATATTGGAGACCCACTGAGGGTACACTGGTGTCACAAGAAAACCGACATTAATCTTCTTTAAAACTTCTTCTTTAATTTTCATTGCCATATCAGGGTGAGTTCTTCGAAATGTCTGCTTGATTGGTGGGCACTCTGGCTTTAGCGGCCAATGATGTTCCACAATATCAGTATCCAAACCAGGCATGTCTTGGTATAAACAAAGCAAATATGTCCATATACTCTTTCAACAATTCAACCAACCTGCCCTTCATATCGAGATGCAGCAATGCTCCAATCTTGACTTCCTTTGGATCTTCCTCTAAACCCAAATTGATTGTTTCTAACGACTCTTTATACGGTTGAATGGAAGTTTCCCCGCGCTCGAGCAACCGTGAAACCTCTTATGGAATCACATAATATTATTCTTCTTTGGCTCCATACATAGGATATTCAAAGTTTGGAGAGGATGCAGGGTCATTGTATTCAATAGTTTTTAATTAATCTGCACATATGATTTATGATTGCTTTTTAGAAACTGACATATATAACAAGTGATTATGCAGATTACGATTTTTATTTGTTTTGAAAGGGTTTTTTTCTGATTACCAATTTCCAAGAAAAAGTAGAAAATAAAGACACAATTTGGGAATCAAAGACAACTTTTATTATTGATTTTAAAGATCAAAGCAAACAGATAAGCCCATAAAATATCAACTTTCACCTTGGGCAGAGTGAAAGATTTTTGAAAAGATTAACAAAAAACAAATTACTTTGAGACATGAATTCAAGAGGGGAACATCAATGGTGATCAATTTTGGACTCTAACTCCATGTGTCACATAGTTCGGCATCTCCTGCTCTGCTTCATCTTCCAAAATAGAATTGATCCTAGGAACAGTTGGATGAAGGTAACCTATGCTGTGAAAGATATCCTTATATTTTCCCAAAGCAGACTTCAGCTTCATGTTCTTGCCTTTATCATTCTTCATAGAGAATCCCAAACCAACTATATTCTTATTCACCGGCGGATCAACAATCTTCCCCCATACTTTAATTGGGCTGTTATGCACAACCTTCTAAGCATCTTTAAACGAATCCATATAATTCTTATTCTCCTTTACATTATCAACAGATAAAGCTTAGAACTGAGTTCCAACAACAGCTTCATCCGCTTCCACAACACACTGAAAGAGGATAAATGAGATATTAACAATGCATGTTCTCCATTTATGATTACCACCTTTCCTTCACGCACAAACTTCAGCTTCTGGTGTAAAGTCCAAGTGACAGCCCCTGCCTCGTGGATCCACGGTCGTCCTAGTAAGCAGTTGTAAGAGGGCACAATATCCATAACTTGGAAAGTAATCTCAAAAAGGTGTCGGTATATGTGAATAGGAAAATCTACTTCCCCGATGACATACTTCCTTGATCTATCAAAAGCTTTCATAATTATTCCACTCGGGCACATGGGAGTTCCTTGATACTTAAGCTTCATAAGCGTGCTCCTCGGTATGACATTTAAAGCAGACCCATTATCAATCAACATATTTTACAATGAATCGTTCTTACAGTTCATGGAGATATGGAGAGTCAGATTATGATTCCTTCCTTCGTCCGGAAATTCGTCATCACAGAAACTTAGGTTATTACAGGATGCAATATTCCCCACCACACTACTGAATTGGTCCAATGGCATATCAATTTCCATGAAATCTCGATCCAATACTCTCATCAAAGATTCCCTGTGGGCAGAAGAGTTCATCAACAAGGACATAATAGATATCTTTGATGGAGACTGCAATAATTGATCTACGATCTTGTAATCATTCATCTTTATAATATTCAATATATCATCCACATATCTTTCCAAATTAGTACCACTAGATTCCCCTACTGCTTTATTGGGTTCAACAGTTTCAACTGCCTATTTATCAACATTAACACTTCCTTGAATGACAGGTGTGAAAACACGACCACTGCGGGTTACCCGGCTAGCTTCAGCAATATTCTTGACATCAGACAAAGGTTGGATGGGAGCTTCCACACCATCCTCTAAGGTTGTAGCATTGTATTTATATGGTAAGACTTTGTCTGATTTGTAAGGAACAAGCCCTGGTAAGAAAATCACCAACGAAGAAACAACTAGCTTGATATGACATTCAATCTCAATAGGGGCGGGAACATCGAAACAAGGCACAATAACATCCACCCCCTCTTCAGAATATTTTGACATCACAGAATCAATGATGGAAATCACTTTTTCATCTGAGGAAAAGAATTCATCTGCAGAAGCATACTCATCACCTGACACAGTCTCATCTAAGCAATCTTCAATCACATTAATCTCATTGTAACATCTCTATTGCCTGAAATTTTGACAGTACCATTATCCAATAACAACTGAATACCCCTTTTCACAATGGAACAACCACGAGAATCTCTGCAGCAGACTCGGCAAGACCCATAATGGTGTTCTTCTTAACCATCCATGTGACAGAAGTAGCGTGCAACTGCACCAAATCATCATTCATATGATTCATGTCAAAAATCTGAAATTCACCGGGACATCCGTAGACCATATTCACATCCTCCCCGTACTTTGCCCTAGGCCTGATTATATGAATGAGGCCTTCGTCCATCATTTCCTGAAGATCAAACTTTATTTTATCATACCCTTGTATATTTGTACTGCAAATACCACAACCAGCATGATCATGTGTATAGTAACTAAACTCGCAGAGGTCAGCATGCATTTTTATCAAATTTCCTCTAACTAGGTTGATATAAAAAATCCAGAAGTCCCCTTGCATCTCCTCTAACTAGTAATTAGAGGATAGTTAAATGATCATCTTGAAACTTGCATTTGAAAATAATTAGAGGATTGATAAAACTAAAGCCTCTCAACAACAAGTTTCATTTGCTTTTTGTCAAGTATATCATTCATTTCAAGATCTCAAGGAAACAATGTTCAATGATGTTGAAGTGATTCACTTTGACCAAAGCTTATGAAGATTCATTAGAGGATTTATAAGACTATAGCCTCCTAACAATGAATCACAAGATCATTGGATCAAAGGGTTTCAAATTAACATACTTGGGCTTGCA